GGGATGGCGGCTTGCACGCGCTGAGGGGGTCCGTGCTCAGCAGCCTCCTCCAGCACCGCGTTTAGCAGACTTCTGAGCGTTTCTGTTTCCGTCCCCTGGGCTGTCCGCAGCGTGCAGGCCGGTGCTCGCCCGACCTGGTCTGAAAATCCTGCCGCGGCGGAGCCTCTCCAGGCGGTCTTTGCGGTGGTTGTGTAGGAAGATGCTCTCCGTACGGTGATTCAGTGGACGTGGAGAATAACGTGTTCCCCTCTTCTTTGCAAACATTTTTCTGTATTTGAAAGCTGTTATTATATCCCCTTCAGCCTTCGCTTCGCTAGACTAAACAACCCCTGTTCTTTCAAACTTTCCTCCTAGGTCATGTTTTCTAGATCACATTTTTTAGACAAATTGTTATTGCTGTCCTCTGAACTCTCTCCAGGCAGGCTGGAGCGCTCTTGGCGCGGTCCTGCTGCTCCTTGCTGAGGCTTTACGGCTCCACAGGGAGCGAAAGGAGCATTTCACGTGCCCCGAAAGACCAACCTGGCCCTCAGCAGGGAGGAGGCATCTCCCGCTCTTGGTGCATCCTTGCAGCTCCCTCGGCAGGTCTTAGCCCACCTCGCCCCTGAAGTTAAGCCTGGGAGCACCTTTATTTTGCCTGGGTTGGAAATCCCATCCTTGACCTGGTGCCTGCGCTCCGTGACCATAAGAGCTATGCAGAGCTCTGAATATCTGTAGTGATGCTGTGCAAAGAGAGCTTGGCTTGCAAATGAGTGAAAGGGATCCCTATTGCAGATAGGAACAAAACTGAGGATCTCCAGACTAAGTCAATTATGGAGACTTTGCAAGACAAAAGCGAAGGGAACTTTTTCTTTCCGCTGCGGTTCTCCTGATTCGCTCCTGTGGTGCAAGCCCTCTTTCTGCTCTGCTTCAAACCGAGCAGGATGATTTAACCTCGTCCAGCGGCATGAAACGTGTGACACTTCTTAAATGGATTTAGCTTAGGCTCGGCGAAGCTCATCTCAGCGATGAAACTTTCTGCTGCTTTCTCCGCTGGCCCCGGCCGCATGATTTTCTGGGGGAGTTGCTGCTGGAGCGCTTAGGTGCGCGTGCGCGTAGGCTGCCAAGCGTGCTTTGAGAGACACGTTTCTTTGGCCCTCCGCAAGGAGAAAGTTTCCCACTCTGTTACATGCAGAAATTAAGACATTTGACTGATCTCGGGTTTGCTTTGTTGTGCTCTCCTGGGTGTGCGCTGTATTGCGCCCGTGGGTCTCGTTGCCGGTGATCGTGGTGTACGTGCTCAGTGCTGGATTCGGGTTGCAATCAACGTTTTCCCAGTGATTCCGGATCTTAAAAATGTGTATGTTTAATTATAATCAGGCCATCTGAATGAACAGCCAAAACGTCCCCTGGACCTAATAATCGCTGATTAAACCCTGCGGTATGAGCATGAACTGTACGTGTATCACAAGCCCCTCATTTGAAACGGCTTCCTTGTGTGCTGACCAGGGCTTTGAGGAGGAAAAGAAAAAGCTCCTGCTGTACGTGGTGGAGGGTGCTTGCAAGCGGACCAGAGACCCAGGGCTCTTCCAGAAACTCAGCGTGCAAATCACTGAGTCCGCCCTCCCTTTCTGCAACTGGAAGTGAATCTATGGAGTTGTCCACACCAAAATTGCAGTAAAGGCCAGGAAATGGGGATCAACCCTCAAATGGTGTAAATAATTCTCAGTCAAAGCGTAAAAGCTGCATGGAGAGGTATCTAATTTGTACATCATTAGAGGACAGTAGAGAGCAGACTTATAGCTGGCCAGCCATGTCCCCGAGGCTCGCAGCACACAAGGCCTCTCTCCCCAGCGTCTCCCCGAGGAGCGCCGGTGGTGGCACGGCGAGGGTCGTCATCTCAGCTCCGCTGAACCTCGGGACTCTCTCGAGCCTGGCAGGATTTGTCCGCGCGCTGTGCATCCCCCGTCCCCCGTCGAGCAGAAATGCCTCCCTTCTCAATTCTTCGGTAGCTGTGAAAATCCGTTCCCCCAGGGTCTGGCCTTGCCTGAAGGTAGCTGTGCGTTTCTGGCGTGCCCTAGAGCCGCCTGAGCCCTGGCAGGACCGTAACGTCGCCCGAGGAAAGGCGTTCAGCAGAGGCAGCGCTCCCTGGGGCGCGCGCTTTGATTTTTGGAGGAGTGGGAGAGGAGGGAAGCGGGGAGAAACGGGAGGTCGCTGCGGGATGAGGGGGCGTGGGCCATGCTGCCGGGGAGGCGACCGGCGTGGGGAGCCCTGCAGGAGGCCAGAGCCACGAGGGCTTTCCCCTCTCCTCCTCCTTGCGGCTCGCTCCCCCCGGCGTTTTTT